CCCCAAAACCCCAAAACCCCAAAACCCCTTTTTAAAAAATATTCTTGAATTTTAATAATATTAACTTCAAATAAGAATGAACTTTGAGATTGGAGACTTGTCGCAGAAGGTTAAAAAGCTACAATCAAGTAATAACCAGTAAGTAATCCAGAAGCAGGGATTATTTGTGTCAAAGCTGCGGCTAGACAGCAAAGGCTAGCAGCTACTGAAACCTAAAAATTAATGGATATGCTACCTTTATTCTTAAGAAAAACTACTAGATTTTAATCTATTCTCAAATTTTCATCTCTAAAAAATGGAATATAGACAACAGATAGGATACTTACTGAAGAGAGATCAAGAAGTTAGTGCCATCAGGGTTCATAAAGCAGTAGACAGATACATCGCAATTGCTGATAAATCAATGTCCTTCTCGCTTGAAGAAAACAGTTCCAAATATCCAGAGCCTGAAGAAGACTCTGAAGATGAAGAAGAGAAGGAAGAATACTCTAGTGGATCCTCGAGCCTTATTTCTAGAGAATCAAGCGTGCAGGATGCATCTAGAGACTCTTCTGCTTCATCAGCTTTAGTCAGGGAGTCCTTCCCAAACAGGAGGCTGAGTGTTTCAAACGTTAAGTTAAAAATTACTCACAAAAATTTCAAATTGATCCTTATGATCCTAAGTGCTCTAAAGCAGAAGAGTTCAGACTCTTTGGTAGTTCAATTCGCTGACAAAATTGTATCAAATCTGGAGAACACCCACTACGTCGGCCTGAGTACCGCTCATAAAGAAAAACTTGAACACATGTTCCTGTATAAACTTTTCAAATACATTAGTGAAGCATTTAAAATTGAAAAGCATGATGAAGTACGCCTTGGAAGCGTCTCTTCTTCAGACTCTGCAGTCGCCGGACTTGATCAGATTAAGACTTCTCTAACCCAGAATATTAAGAATAACTTGGTTAAGAGAGTTAGAGAGGTCCTGGATGATCCAAAGTCTAATGCTGGGAGCGTTGGGTATGTTGCTGGAGTTTCAACTCTAGTACCTTATTTATCAGAATCTGTTAGTGAAATGATAGTTTCAAGCGTATCAGATGCTATTAAAAGTAAACGCGAGTATATCTATGACCTCCTACCACTGATCATTGGTAAGTGTTATTGCTGCTATCATGTTTGTTTTTCCTCAATTTCAAATTCTTAAAAATATTCTATAGCCGTTCTAAAGATTTACCCATCCAAATTTTCGAAAGACCTGACCAACACACTTCTCAAGCTAAGCATCAGTCAAACAAAGAAAGGGAAGAAACGATCAAAAAGTTTATACCTCTCCTTACAACTCCTTCTTTCAAATTTAAAAGGAGATAGTGCCTCATTTGATAAAAAATTTGGGGATATAAATCCTAAAGCATTTCTCAAGAGTAAACCTCTCGCAAAGATCTTCATCAGATTTTTCATTGAAAGCTATTATTCGGAAGAAGCCACAGAAAGCCAAAGAAAGGAGGGCCAAGCAATGCTATCCACTCTTGAAGAGAGTCTTAAGGAAAATTCAAAATCATCATCTGGTAATACTTTATTTCAAATAAATACATTTTGAGAGTTCTTCTTAATTTTAAAGCCAGAATAATAATAGTAATCTAAAAGTCAACATATGAAAGGGGTAGTTTAAGGAAGGAGTTCTCATTTGTAAAAACCAAAAATAGCTATCATTTCGCCTAACTTTCACATTATTTGTCCTTGATATGAGTCTAACTTCTACCTAGATGAGTCAAAGAAGCAAATCTTAAACTATATTTACTCTGAAATACTATGCTACTGAATGATAACGACAGGTACTTCAGAAGTTAACTCCTAGGATTCATAAAGGATGATATTAGAATAGGCTCCACAATTCACGAACAAGTTAACTTTTTCCTCCGAGTATATGTTAAATCATGTGGATATCTTTCACAGGTGTCTCCAGTTTCCTTATGAGCTTACCTAAGTCTTATACTTGCTGAATCGAGGAATAGTGATCTCTTCCAAGGTGATCCAAGAGAACATGAAAAGGAGATGGTCAACCTACTCTATTATTCTGCACTGATCTCTAATTCCCCAGACTTCATAGATCTTATCTTTGGAGAACTGGAGTATATCTCCAGAGCACTGCTAGATCATGGTCTTCCTCTGACTTTGATTAGCAATGTAATATCAAAGTAAACTTCGAAGCTTGCTTTAGCATATTCTACTAAACTCTATAGCCACAACAGCCAGATGTTCGGCAACTCGCTCTCAATCAAGGATTCAGATACCCAAATCGTAAGTTTTTTGGCGATGGCTTTTAGAAAAATGAAGTTATTGTATTTGAAAGTGAATCAGATGGTAAGATAATTTGTCTTCATTTCATGAAGTCTCGATCTTTTCAATATTAAAAAGATCAATATTACTTTTAACATAGGTGCAATAATGCTCAACTCAAACAAAAACAACCCAAAGTTCTGCATCTCAATCTTGAATTTTCTCTCGAATATCATGGGCCACATAGTCAAGTCTGATTATAGTTTATATGAATCTGGAGGAGGACATCAAAACCTTCAAATGGCCTCGAGACAAATCAGATGAATCTTTATCCCAATCGTTGAATTTGTCTATAGCTCAATATTTTCCAACAACCTTATCAATGAAATCGGTAAGACAAGCTATTTCTTGAACAACCTAAGAATGTTTAGACCCTTCCCTCAAGAGGCTTTACACAAAGATCATCAGAAATATATGGGGATACATCATCATATTCAGAGGGCTATCTGAGAAACTTATCTCATTTGAGGAGTTATTTGACCCAGATTGCTATTCATCCCTCGAACTAATGAGCTTAGCATATTTAATAACTCCTCCATTGATCTCGGAGCATTCGAGTACTGAGCCAAATGCTCTTCTTGAGCCTGAATTTCCACCAGAAATCGTAAGTTTTTTGCTTAAAATTTGCTCTTCTAATTAGCTTTATTGTAGGTTAAAATTCTTTCAAGCGATCTCGAAAGTTATTTTAAAAAGAAATACTCAAAACAAAAGAAAATGTTTGAAAAGTTACCAGAAGATTTACTTATTCTTCTTGGAGAGATTGAGCTAGTATACTCACATCAACTAGTTTATCTCAACACAGTGAGTATTGACGATTCCTTATCTGGACAACCTCTACCTCATCTCATTGAAGATATTTTCTATTATCTCAAACATGACGACATCATAGCACTGCCAGATATGGTCTGTATTATCACAGCACAAGCTCATAATTTCCTCGAGTTATATTTCCAAATAGTTTTGGAGAAAGAAAAAGCGTCATCATTCATAAGAGACATTATTTCAAAATCACTTTCTGTGTTCATTGAAAATCTGTGTTATGGCAACAAATATGTATCAAACATTATAGATGAATATCCTTATATTTTTCTGTGGAAATCTGTACTCTTAAGCTACAAGACCTCGATTGATCAATTGGCACACCTGAAATATCTTGAATACGGAACCATACCTGAGGTCAGCCATAGCCTTAGAGCTGCTTTCGATTCGAACAAAACTACAGATCCCTTTAAAGAACTAATGAAACAACTCAAGCTTCTTACTCTTTTCGCACTGATCTGCAATCATTCTCATTTCAAAATGATTGTGAAAAACATTGAAATTGAAAGTAAAAGAGAGAAACTATTCCAAAATATCAGTCTCGAGTCAAATGTCAACAACTTCACTCTAAATCTAATCAAGAAATGGATATCTGAATACTCTCCCAAACATGATGAATACAAACAAAGAATCGATATGATTATCAACCCGAAGCAATCAGCCTCTAAATTACCTGAAAAGGTTATTAACTCATATTTCTTAAGCGATATAACATCAGAAGATTTCCTTGTTGACCCTCTCACTATTCTTAGTTTTGACCATAACTCTGTTGTCCCTTATATGAAAAATATTAATTATTTCATCGAACTGGCTGAAAACATTCTTAGAGCATATGCTCAGTACAATGAAGACGGTCAAGAAGAGAGTGGGTATCAACAGGACCAAGTTACTCAATCAATTGAAGAATATTTTAACAGAACTAACAAGTATATTAAAAACGGAAACCATTCTGATGCTTACTCAAATTACATGACCCTGCAATCTTTATATATTGCCTTGAAGAAGTCTAAGAATATGATATTAGACAGCACAATCAGAGAGTTAATGAGCAGAATCATCACAATTGCATCAACTGACAACCATGGCAGCTTGTTATTCGGGTTTGACCAGTTAATACAATACTTCCAAACAAATGATTGGGTCAATGATGCTAATTTATTCTGTGACCTTTTCTTCGGACAATCTACTTGCTGGAATATCTTTTCAAATATGTTTTCTCAAAGCGCTAAAGAGTCAAAATTCTTGCCACCAATATTCAGAATTCATAATGCATTTGAACATCGAATCCACCGTAGAAGAGCTGAACTACAGAATCTTAATAAAGAAATCACAATATCCACATCGAAGGACGAAATATACATTGACCAGGATAAAAAGATGAAAGCTAGAGAGCTCTGAAATTATATCGAAATTTATGTCAGATTCATCAAGAATTCAGTCATACGTAACATGATTTTTAAGAAAAGAGCTAATGTCGAAAAGGTGCTGTCAAAGATCATTCATGTCTGTGAGCTAGACATTTCCAAGCTCTTCAGAGTAAATCCAGTAACCCTGGCTTCTGAAGTTAGTCATAAGAGATTGATTCAGTTGTACTCTGTGCTGACAGATTTCGCATTTGATGCATTTTTATGATTCACTCAGCTGCCTTACGAGAGTGGTAAGTTTATATTTAAGCCAATGGATCTAAGACTATATAGAACTTCTTCCTGCTTGAACAGAGGCACTAATAAAGTTCATAATGAAAATTTGGATAAATCTAGACACGATAAAATACTATGAAAGGCAAGACCAAATGTATAAAATGGTTCATCTTCTACAAGGATTGCTTTCTCTTATTCCATTATGAGAAACTTCTCATGTCAAGACAGCTGTAAATATAATAGCAGCTCAGCAAATTCCTGACACATATCAAAGCATTAACATTTCAAAAGAAAGCATCTTCTCTCGAACCATGAAATCACTCCTACTTCAAGAAAAAGACCTCAAGGAAGGTTATAACTTTTTAGGTGACATACAGTTTGTGATAACAACTTGGATCAATCAACTCTATGCACACAACTACAATTATTCTTGCCCAAAGAACTACGAAGTAACTCCTTTGACAAAGAAAAGTATGATGGTGATCTACTTTCCTGAGGCAGCATTTAAAATTTTCTCAGAGTGAGCTCCGAAGGGAAGCTCAAAATACACTAGTGCTTTTAAATCCTTTGAAAGCAACTGTGAGAAAGCAGTACTTACATTCCCAGAAAAGTATTTGGAGTATTCCACTGCTTTGAAGATATATACTTCACAAGATATAGCAACTAGTGAGCCTACTCCGAAGGAGTTTAAAGAATATCTTCATTTATGGCATTGATTTGATCTGGGTATTAGTAAATACCTTTGTAGGAACTATGATAACTGAGATACTTTGCACTACCTATCACTTCAATTCTTAAACTATGCATCCAGGGACTCATTACTATTCCTCTCAAGTGAGCTTTTCCAGGCTCTCAGGACCTACACAGATGGAAAAGTTGAAAACTTTTTAGTAAAGGTAACCTAAAATCACAACTAAAACCTCAAAAATATCGATTTCTCATTTAAACCTTCATGCTATCTTCTAGCAACTTAAACGTACTAACTCTCTATTCAGATATCCACAAAATGGCCTTCCCTCACCCACAGAATAATCTGGATGGCTGAAGTTGAAACTGAACCAAGCGAGGATGATAAAGACAGAAAAGTTCCTTTAGATAGAGAAGACATTCTCCCAGAAACCTGCCAAAGGATTATCGATCGAATTCTTTCAACTATCAGAAAGCATGAAAAGATTCTGTTCCAAACAGAGTCAGGCTTCTTCGAAGATGTAACTGCTATTTCTGGTATTATGAAGCCATCTATGTCAAAAGATGAGAAGAGAGCAATAATTAAGGATAATTTAATCAGAATTAACAGAATAGTCCAGTCCAGAACTAGTGGTTATCAATCAAATCAGTAAGTTTTAAAGCTATTTTTCAGAAATAACCAACATAATGAGGATGTACCTGAGTGGATCCCGAATGCAGGAAATGAAGAGATTGCAGAATACCTGAAGAGTCTTTATCTTCCAACTAACCCATCTTGTAAAGTGGTCAGCATTGTTGAGACTAGTGGAGCTCCAATGCAAAGTGCTGCTAAATGTCCCTTTAGAGTCACCTTTAATGTAGTAGAGGAGGCTCCGAATAAGAAAGTTAAAGAAGAAGAGAAAGTAGCTGATGATATGAGTATCATCTCTGAAGGAAAGCTTACTCAAATTAACTCTATAATTGGACGGCAGGGTCGAGAAAGTGTTAATAGTGACTTCTCCAGTATCAACGAAAGATGGAGAAACGATGAAGATCAAATATTTAGTTCACACAAAAATTTCAGAAAGATCATGACTTTTAACCGCAAACATAGTGTCTCATCTTTTATGGCCAAAAACAATGAGAATTCGAGTAAGTGAAACATATTTTGCATTAATCAACTTCCATTTTACTTTCTAAATTAATTACTAAAATAGGAGGAGGAATGGTAAATCACTCAACTAAAAATGTAAATATCCTCCTAAAATCTAGGTTGTCATGAATAACATCGTGGTTCCTCAAAATAAGACTAAACTGAACAAGAGGAACACTTCAAACATCCAAAAAGTATCATGCATCTTCAAAGTCTTTGATGATGTGCGACAAGATATTTTAGCGATCAGAATAGTCAAGTTATTTAAAGAAATTTTTGAAACTTTCGAGCTTGACTTGCACCTCTTCCCATACAATGTTCTTTGCAACAGAACTGGAGAAAAGAGAAACATTGGAGGAATCATTGAGTGTGTTCCCAACACCCACTCCAGAGATGAGCTTGGGAAGGACTATGACGTCAACATGTACCAATACTTCGTTGAAAAATTTGGAAGTGAAGACTCCCAAGGATTCAAGAAAGCCCAACAAAATTTCATCAGGAGTTTAGCTGGTTACAGTGTATTTTCATACATCGTTCAGCCCAAAGATAGACACAACGGAAATATCATGATCGATGAGATTGGAAACCTGGTTCATATCGACTTTGGATTCATTTTTGATTGGTCTCCCGGAGGGGATATGAGATTTGAATCGGCTGATTTCAAATTTACTAAAGAAATGATTATGATTCTTGGAGGTAATCCTTACGAACTTCTAACTAAACATAATCTGAAATAGTCCAAACTAAAGCACTTTATGATGCTTTCTAATTTGATAAAATTCCATTACTATTTTTGGTCCTTCAAAAAATGTAATCTCCCATAAAAATTTACAAACTCAAACTTTCATAATTCCAGCTTAATTTATAAAAATCCTAAACCAATTCTAATAGAAAACAAAAACTCGAAAGCATACCAACTATTCGTGAGCAAGGCTATCCAGGGATACCTAGCTATTAGAAAGTTTGCTAAGCAGATAATAGATATGGTATTTTTTAACCTTCACAGTGGCCTCCCCTGCTTCAAGACCAAGAGTATGAAGCTTCTAACCAAGCGTTTCAGACTGGATTTGAATGAGTGCCAAGCTGCTCAGCACTACAGAAAAATCATCAATAATGCTCATGCCAAATGGACAACAAAAGTATATGACCAGATCCAATATCTCCAAAATAAGATTTCTTACTAAGAATGCTCAACCCAACCACAATATCCCGGGGTTTTGGGGTTTTGGGGTTTTGGGG